TTTATTTACTGATTAACCATTTCTATTATTTTTTTTATTTTTTTTTTATTTGCATACATTGGTTAATGAAAATACATGTCACCCCTTCTGTTGGAACAGACGTAATGTTCACTCTAGAGGGGAATTTTTCCGAAACCATCGTCTCCAGTTGGGGTGTTTCCGATCCGAACTGCTATAGTCTACGTATATTTAAATGATAAAAGTGAACTTATTTTAAACTTTCAAAATTATCTGTAATATTTTAATATATATATATATATATATATATATATATCGCAATTATTATAATTTATTATACACTTTAAAAGGCGAGTTTTCGAGACAAAATTCTTCAACGGGGTTCTTGTCGAATTACATGGCTATATAATATATACGTATCATTTATAGAGCATTTTCTCCTCTTCAATATCTCTGTTCTTGAGCAGGTCTATGTTTACAGTAGTTCCATACTCCTCTACTTTATGTTCATCTCTTTATATTTACATATCTTGTCATCTAAAGCTAATTATTATTTTCTTTATTATATATATGTGGCATTATAAGGTGGGAAGAGAAATAATCACATCACATGTTGAAAGAGGGACCTAGACAACCAGGAGAGGAAAACGGGGCTGGCACAGCCGGCCGGCCGTTCGTGTCGCGTATAATCCCCAACTGTCTTAAAAGTACCGAGGTGTTAACTGACAGGCCCCCAGTGGTCGCTTCTTGGAATGTCGCTGGTGTCTCAAATGACCGGACTTCACTTTCCCGTCTCTTTCTGGGTTATCTGTAGGTTGTCTTTATTATTCCTGGAAGAATATATATTATGACATATATATATTTTTTTATTTCTATATAATTTTAACTCCCAGAACATTTTTCAAAATTCCCTTTCCACTCAATATCGTTTCAATCAAAGTTTCGGTCATTTAGTCTAATAACTCAAACAGTTCTCGTTCTTTATCTAATCTTCTTTAAACTTCTTCATTCCAGATAATGCCAGCCGTCTATTTATTTCAGTTATTCTAAGTATTCTACAAACACATTTCAAATATCAACTTTTTGAGTACTATTTAATTTCGTATCAATAGAAATAATTATATCTTTTTAAATATACATTGAATCGCTTCTCGGCCTTTTGGCCAAGATCATCCCATTGCATAACGTAAGATAAACGACTCTATTGGCGAATGTAAACATCCGCAACTAAGTTGTATTTATTTATAATTCTTGAAATTACAATCACATTAATCAGTTACTTGTTGTTGTTGCTTATTCTTCAAGTCGTTTAAATGATCTCCATTAGATACCATTGTCTCAGCCTTTCTATTATAGTTCTGGGACCAGTTACTTAACAACTTGAATAAGGACAGAGGGCAATAGTGTGTTTATTATGTTCTATACGTTATTATTCATCTTTACCAAGACCCCACACAAATTCGATAGAGAGGTTTATGAAAAATACACCGCAAAAACCATATATTTATACTTGATATAAAATTTCACACAAATAAATTTATTTACTGGTAATGCGCTTCTTTTAAATATCATCAAATATTATCTCTACAGACCTTACTGCTGAGAGAGCCCTCTCATTCAAAAACTCATATAATTTCAGTAAGGTCTGTAGAGATAATATTTGATGATATTTAAAAGAAGCGCATTGCCAGTGAATTTATTTGTGTAAATATTTAGCGATATATGGCAATTAATTTAATTTACGAATACTTGATATAATTTGTTAATAACAAGCACATACAATGAAGGAAAAGAGTAGCAATATTGTAACATGGGAGACAGGAAAGGCGACTCTCCAGCACGACGCCACCCGACACTGGAAAGATGACACCGACTCAGCCTCTAGGGAGATGCCAGAGGATGGCTGATGGCATTTCTGTGTTGTACGCAATATTTTACATAACTTCTTCGTTCAACAGACCTGTTATACACTCAGTGACATTCTAACTTGACAATTCTTAATAGCTATAGCTATTCTGAATTAATATAATAAATATAATTCTTAAATACTAAAATACCGTGCAAAGTAAACATCTCTCTTTTTTAACCTTTCAAGCAGAACAGTTATTCGAAGAATTAATCTCCATATACAAGGGGGGATCAATAAATAAGGTGAATTATCTTATTTCTTAAAAATTAAAAAAGCAAAAATAATTTAAACCACAGATTTTTAAAATATAACAACGAGAGACTATTTAAGGTGTTCTGTACTTTTTTCCCACGCGCGGTGGGAATCATGACAACGCACGGTCACATACAGAAGTCACTGTACACTCTATTGGCTAAACACGGAATTGCTTAACTACCCACCATATTCTCCTGACTTGCTCCCAACGACTTTTTCCTCTAGCCTAAAATTAAAAAAGACTTAAAAGGACGTCGATTTGACTCAATACCTGAAATAAAGGAGAATACGAAGAATATTTTGAAAAGCCTGAAAGATGGGGATTTTCAGAGGTGTTTTGATATCTGGAAAAATATGGAACAAGTGTATTGATATGGCGGTGATTATTTTGAGAAATTTGATAAAAAAACTCTATTAAACTTTTGTATTTCTTTGAATATATATCATTACTGGAAATTATTGATCACACTATGTATATAAGACCTGTGGTCTCAATAAAGCTTTATTTGTGTTATTTATTCACTAATTATATATACACCCATACCTCGCTTTGCGTCGGGGTTACGTTCCAAAAAAACACGACGCAAATTGAAACGACGCAAAGTAAAAATATGTGAAGGCGCAATTAAAAACAAAGGTGTTGCCATATTTTAGGAAAAAAATTAAAGACTCGAATCCAAAACAAACGCAACTTCGAAAATCTAACGACGCACAGTGAAAATCAGTAAAAATTAAGCAGCGACGCAACTTCGAAAAAAACGCAGAACGAAACGACGCAAAGCGAGGTATTGGTGTATATAAACTAATTCAATAATTCATCTTTTGGTTAATAATCCAAGGTCAGTTCATTATTTTATCTACTGAGATAACTATTGTGTTTAAGTGACTATTTGTACATACAATTTTGCATAAATATAGTTTACTATATTTTACACATATAAATTTACTGGCAATGCGTTTCTTTTAAATATGATCAAATATTATCTCTACAGACCTTACTGCAATGATAATATTTGATGATATTTAAAAGAAACGCATTGCCAGTAAATTTATTTGTGTAAAATATTAACGATAGATGGCAATTAAATTTATAAAAATAGTTTACTATATATTTTATCGACTAAATTAAACACCTCGAATAAAAATAGCAAAATGGTAAAGTGTCATTGTAAAGCCTGTAGAAAGACGTCCGAAAGCTTGCGAATAAAGTTCTTATAAAACACTACTCTTCAATCATCGTTATATATTGCTATATATTTTATTTTTAAAAGTAAAAATCAATATCAGGTAAAAAGTTTCTTTAAATTTAAATTTGCAAGCTTTCGAGCATATATACTGCTCTTCAACAGGCTGATATTCTATGTACAATATCTAAATAATATTTATACAGAATAATTGAAAACTTTTGTTATTAGCATGTGCTCTCGCGGGCGTGCATCAGACTGTTACCAGCTAACGTAATAGATATTATACTGGGTTTAAATATATATACATTCCAATAATTATTAATATTTAGATTATTTGTCAGGGATATTGTTATATTTAACGAAATTAGCATTTTGTTATATAGAGTGTAGGGGGTAATGATATAACACATTAAAAACATTTAAAATAATAGCACATATTTGAGTGTAACGCAACATTGAAAGACGCAAATACAATAGCAAAAGCAAAACTCATTACAAAAACCAAAATACCCCAGCACATATGCAGCCTCAACATCAACATAGAATTAACAACAACAATTTCAAGAATACGAACAGGACATTTTAAAAGAATGAAGATAAACCCAGACATGACTAGATCCTACAGGAACTGCAACAACTGTCACAACACCCAACTCACTCCGGACTATATATACAATTGCCTGGCTATCCTTGCAGCCCTCTATATGGCAGACATCAATCCAGAAGAGGACATACATACGAACAAGGCACCTCGGTTGGCCGGTATTGTGATCAGGATGTACGGACCGATCTGATCTGCTCCATGGACAAGAAACCACCATGACCAATAGCATAATATTTTGATAATTAATTTTAATTAAAATTAAATTAAACTTGATATATCAGTACTACTTGATAAAAATATAAATGGATATAGGTATAATAAACTTCTCTCTTTAATAATAATAGAAAGTAAACGCGTTACCTCAAATATGTTCGTCCATACAATAGAGAGAGAGAGAGACCATTATACCAAGTTCATTATATCCAGTGTTCGAATTTTATTTGTGTGTCTCTCTCTCTCTCTCTCATGGCCCCTGCGCATGGATGACACGCAAAATCGTGAAGCGTTCTCTCTCTCTCTCTCTCTCTCTCTCTCTCTTTTGGACTATTTTGAGAAATGGCAACCTAGTTAGGCTAATCAGGAAGAACCTTCATGAGAGCAGATACCACCTCTATACAAAGAACAGTATAATCACCAGTATTACCATTTTACTAATTAGTAACTCTCTGGTAAGAGGCCACCTCTCTCTAAAGAACACCTTTGCTCTACAACTAAGTGTCCTTTATAGAGGTTCTACTGTATATATTTCTTTGTATGACTCTTGCTATGGCAATCTTTTACTTATAAATGAATGTCAAAATTGTTAAAGGATTTACAGTCAAACTTCTTCAATTCAACACCCTGAGGCATCAGCATTTTCTGTTGAATTAAAGTAGAAAAGCCTTATTGGGATTTGAAAACAAACAGTAGGATTAAAGTAAGTGTTGTATCATAGTGGGTTGAATTAAAGAGTTTCGACTGTCCTTCCATAGGACTGGTGGATTAGCTCAGCCACCTTTACTTCTCCAGGATAATCCATTTAAATGGTGAGAGAGAGAGAGAGAGAGAGAGTGTGTGAAGAAGAGTAATATTAACGGAAAAATAAAGTGTCCAGGGATGGGAATCGAACCCACAGTGTTCCGCTTACCGGGCAGATGCCATGTCCACTACACTACCCTGGAGATAGAGTGTGTGTGAATCGACCAAAATATCAAATCAATATATCTCATTTTTATATGAATAATATAATATTCGTATATATATATTCATGAAAATACGAAATACCTTACGCAATGTTTCTTATGCGTAAGGTTTTTCTAAATATTTTTATAAAAGCAAATCTCAAATTTCTTATATCTGAGTATATATATTATTGATACAAATCAACAAAAAATAGCTCTTAAATTGAAAAAAAGATTATTTTATATGCATATATACGATACCCAAAAAAAAAGCATACTATAACTTTTTGATGTAAAAATAGAAAAATTATAAGGATGAAACTACAGATTAGATTATAATATAAATAAAAAGTGTCAACTATAATAGATAAAGATGACGACATCACTCCTTTTTTGCGTTAAATCAACTTTTAATTAAAGGTAAAGATAATATATAAAATATCTTTAAAATTACTGCCAAATTATTTACTACGGCGTACATAGGAGGACATTCCTACCGCCAATTACGTGACCGAAATGGCTCCACCTATTGTTTACGTTTAAAAGTAAATATACAATTTGATCTATTATCGGAATAATTTTAATATTTTAGAGCTAAAAACTATGGCAGTGATTTCTTCCATAACAATCTTCATTGTATCAAGATTTCATCTGAATAAGTCAAATATTGCACATATATATAAACTAAGGAGAAACAATCCCAGAAATATTTGATATATCATTTTAATAGGTTAGTTGATTGTGATTCAAAGATAAAACCTTCAAATTTTACGAAATCTGACGATTGATACATGTAAATATTTAATTCTAAGTGTTAATTTGTTTGTTGTTTCGTTTGTTTCCTCTAAATAGGCTTAAACCGTGTTTAAAGTTTATAGAACCATTTTCAGAAAATAATAACAACTCAATATTGTGTATCTTCTGTATTATCAACATATAGTTTATATTTATTCAGATAGGTAGCGCTGAGCCATGGGCAATGATAGAAGCATGATCAGCACCTATGCTATTACATACTTGTTCGGTGGTGCAGCTACTAAAATTTAAACGATACAGAGAAGATTGGCATGGTCCCCGTGATACTTGTTTGGCTGTACGAACTAAAATTTAAACGATACAGAGAAGATATGGATGGTCCCCGTGATAGTTTTTCGGCTGTACGAGCAAAGATATAAACGATACAGAGAAGATATGGATGGTCCCTGTGATACTTGTTCGGCTGTACGAGCTAAAATTTAAACGATACAGAGAAGATATGGATGGTCCCCGGGATACCTTTTCGGCGGTACGAGCTGAAATTTAAACGATACAGAGAAGTTTTGGATGGTCCCCGTGATACTTGTTCGGCGGAACGAGCTAAATTTGGAACGATACAGAGAAGATTGAAATGGCCCCTACGCAAGGATGGCACCCAAATTTGTAAAGCGTTCTATGCCATCACTTTTATCATTTTCTTCTCTCATTTTATCGCTCTCAATTAAGAATAAATAGTTGAGCAAAATATATTTTAAATAGTGCCTTCACATATATGCATTTTCTACCGTTCAATGAAATCGATAAATGTATAAAACAATTTAAGTTTATACATTTATAGATTGATATATCTATATCCATATGCCTTATTAATCCAATCTTTAATGATATTTAATTTCAACAATAGTTTATTTACTTACCTATATATACAAGACAATATTAAAAGTAAATTTAATTAAAATAAAATAAATAGCGCAGGTAGTTAAATATTTGAATAATTTTCTCTTATAATTAAGAAATGTAGTTATATGTGTGTGTGAGAAAAAATGATTTAACTTTAAAAAATAAATTGATTTTTATAATTTTATAAGAACAATCTAATGTATAAAATTATGGAATTTTTAACAAACATATTATATGTTATAATATAAAAAAATGAGATTTTCTGCTTGAATTTAGATCATGTTGAGGATTATGGTAATGTAATGCAGTCGTGGTTGATTCTTGAAAGAATAATAATAAAAATTTGATCAGATATTGCTTCAAATGAACTTATGGAATATATAAAACAAAATTGATAAAAGTAATGCCTGGCTTAAGGCGAGTATAATTAGGAAAACAAAATATTATTTACATAATGTACAAAAGATTTGAGCCGGCCATTGGGATAAAACAACAACGAGTTTTTATAGGGAAAGAGTGACCTCTGGCGGTCGATTTAGCAGAGTATTTGTATCTATGAAATTATAATTTAAAATAAAATAATATGTTTAAATATAGAAAAATGATAAGGTGTTGATATCAAAAACAAAATTGGCAAATCCTGACCGCTCATAAGGGCATTTTTATATGGCAGAACGCCATCTAGTGGAACAAATATCAACTAAACTTTAATTTAGCTTGTTCCGTGATATTTGGCCAACACAATATTTTAATAAATCAATAAATTTCATCCACGTACCTGGTTACATATATAATCCCTTTATATATAAAAGTCAGTGTATGTATGATATTTTGATCCAACATATGCCTTTTTAATTAAAGTGTGTATGCATGTGTGTATGTTTGTCTGCTATACACGTCCACAATACGTAACTAATCTGACTGAAATTTTAAGAGTATATAGAGTTGAATCTGGTAAAACTTATAGTAAAAATTTCAGGTCTCTATCCCGAATATTCTTCGAGTTATTTGCAAATTTGCCCTTTCGCTCGCGAGCATTGCCTCTAGCGGTGAAGATGAGAGGTAATATCAGCTGATCTAATGTAAATGTAAAGTTTGGAGCGGGACGTTTCAAGAGTGACATTCACGGCACCAATTTATAATTGTAACAAATAGTATTTGAATAAAAACATTTAATCGGGTTAACCCGGGCGTTACCCGGGTCATTCGGCTAGTATATATATATATTGTCATGCATATTTTGCATTGTTTGAAGGTGCAGTAGTGTTCTAAAAATATTGAAAATCAATGAATATTTATCATCACACACACACACACCCACACAAGTATATATCTCTATATATATATAAGTCAATGTCTGTCTGTTTCGCGATAAACTCAAAAACTACTGAACCAATTGGTACCAAATTTTGCATGTCGCTTTTTATAAACCTGAGGAAAATTTTCGGCTACATTTTGCTTAGTATTTTCGGCTATTTCTTTTTTTCATTTGAAGAACTTTTTTTTACGCGGAGTAAATACGAGGCTTACGCGGAGTAAATACGAGGGAAAGTAACAACACGAGGCCAATTAAGCGACCAATGAGCGTTCTGCATTTCTTCTCAAGTTGCTTGCGTACTTTTTTTAAAATATCTTTTTATACGAGTGTCACTTTTTTTACAAAAGTATTGAGGGAGAAATTTATATTACTAAGTTAAGGTAAGTTCAAACAATGCGAAATTTCACACAATAAAAAAAAAAACTTTACAAAATTAGCGTTACTGTATGTAAACAATGGCTTTCTTAATTTTTGTTATGGCCTTTGTGTTTTTTTTACAGTCAATATGATATAATTCTTAAAATTAAACAAACAATAGTCAATATGCAAAAAATACAGTAGTAAAAATTTAATATGAATTACTGTCTCATTTAACAGCCAAAACATGTGTTTGTCTATAATCCATATACCCTTTGGTTTTTATCAGCCTATAATTTTAACATGGCTATTTTGGCATTAGTTTTTTTTTAGTATTATTTTTTTTTTCCGACATGTTGATAGGGCACTACATTTTACAAAGTTACGATTAGTAAACAATGCAGAATTGACAATATTTACAAACTTTTATTACTGTATATAAACAATGGGCTTATGTTTTTTAATTGTTGTAATGGCCTTTGTTTTGTTATTCTTTTAAAAAAAATCATATGTTTCATTGATAGTTTAAAATTTAGTCTGTTGTTGTCATTTATTTTATTCGCTTGCCATTTCTGTATATTTTGTTTGTGGTAGTTCTATTATGCTGCTTTAATTTTGTCTACGCAGATATTAGGCTAGGGAAAAAAATAGTTGAGCATTCTAAAGATTGACCTGTTTGACATGTTTTGCCAATAGTTTTTTTAGCCTTATTTTTTTTTCTGCTGAAATGTTGAGAGAGAAATTTGTTTTAGTTACCAAGTTATGGTTAGTGAACAATGTAGTTTTGATATTTTCAAACTTAAAAATTTCTACTAGATAATCAGTTTTGTTCTGTAACTTATTCTGATACTTTGGATTTGTTTTGGGTCTGCACTGTTTTCCTTTAAAAGCTTTTTTTTTAAATATATATATACAAAAATATTTTTGGTACTGATTGTGCTATTTCTGTTTTTTTCTAGGACATATTTTCAAATTGAATCATCCCATTTGTTATGCCTCGCAAAAGATCTGCAATTGGAGTAAGAACTCCTGCAGCTCGACGCATGGCTGCCCGAGCTGCTAGAGGCCAATGTAGCCGCACATTGGAGAATCCACAACAGTCTCAAGCCCGCCTCCAAGGTCAGTCCCTCAAAATTGCTGGCATTGACTTGGAGCAACCCTGTTTCTCGCATGGGCAATTGTATGTTGACTGCTCTAGAGTTGGCTCAGGAAGAAATCTTTATGTTTTGGCTCCAGAAAATAAGACTTCAAATTTTGTGTATTCTTCTGTGTTGTCATGAATAATTTTTTTTAATGCTATTTTAGTCTTTTTTTTTTTGTTGTTGTTTGAGTGGTATATTATTTTCATAATTATTTCTATATACGTATATATTTGATGACGATATATTGATGCACCCCGCCTTTGCAATGGTACCCGTCTCTGTGTTAAAAGATTGTGGCCTCATGTGGTAGAGGCAACCATTTTGACTGGTTGTTTTCAAAATGAAGAGGTTTTTATTCCCCGGATTCCTCTGATTCATGATGATAAACATTCTCCTTTGCATTTTAAAAGATTGCAGTTCCCCATTCGAGTTTCTTTTGCCATGTCGATTAACAAGGCTCAAGGTCAGTCCCTCAAAATTGCTGGCATTGACTTGGAGCAACCCTGTTTCTCGCATGGGTAAAATAT